CAGATCTTATTACTCACCCCCTCAACCGAAGGCATCCTCTGTTCTAAATACCTGAACCCCCAGGGATGGGGCACAAGAGCCTGATAAAGGCTGCCCAGCAAAAAAAAAAAAAAAGCCCCTCAAGTCACCAGGGCTGCTCAATAAAACCACAGTTCCTGCAGGGAAGTTGGTCTTGTCTCCCCTCTCAAGCAGGAAAGAAAAACAAGTCTCCAATGCACATGAAGATGCATCAGCAATTTCTGGTGCCAAGATCCCAAAGTGAAGCAGCAAATACCAGGTAACTACTCTGACTAAGGAAAAAAAACCAAACCAACACACTAAGTGCAAACAACTAAGTATTTTTCACATCTACAGGGGAAATTTTAACTGAAGGGTCAACGCAATTCCCATTTATCTGCTCATACAGAGCGGCCCTGGCATCCAGAGCACGACAGTTTGCAGAAAGCTTCTGGAACTTTTCCTGCCTCCGCTCAGAGCTGCAGGAGAGGCACGTGCCAACGCTCCTTTGCAAGGGACAGCAAAAAAGTAGCTTTTAATAGAAACTCAGCTCTGACTTTTGCCTCACCGCTGCAGCTTTAATGACTGGATTTGGAGCCAGCATGCTCCATCTTTGAGCACGTCAGCCAAACGCTGACAGATTTAAGAGCTCTGTGGAGCAGTCTCGATACCAACGTGGCACTCTTCCAGATCGCAGGCACTCTAGAGAGCTAACATTTTATGAACCACTCCTCCTTCGTTGAGCTTTCCCTAGTAAATCCTATCAGGACAATGCTGCTGCAATACGTCCTCTTAAATCCTACATCATCCTGGGGAGCCTAAAGGTACTGAGAAGAGCACACACAAGCATCTTGGACCCACCACACCCAAGTCAGACACTTTACAGCAGAAATATGCAGCTACACCAAGCCCACAGTCATGGTTTCACAGCACAGAACCAACTCTTGAGACCAACTCTGTCCCCTAGACCTCGAATCAGCTTTTAAATCTGTTTACTAACCACTGACCTACCACATTTCATGTGAATTTTACCCAATTGCAAGCAGGTCACCCATCAGCACAAGCTGAAATTCACAGCAGCACCCCAACAGCAAGATGCCCAACATCCAACCCAACCAGTCTCAGAACAGCTTTTATTCTTCCATGTGCCAGTTAGACTTGCAATTTAAGATTTTCAGGACCTTGAAGCCTACAGCTTTTTCCCTGTACATTATAATTTAGAGCTGTTTAATTTAATTAGACCTTCCTGGTAGCTTTAACCAAGCCCATTTTATAGGAGATGATGTAGAGACAAGCCCTGCAGAGCCAGGCTTAGTGACACTGGCAGCTCAGGGAAGGGCTCTGGGTAAATAAACCACCTTACCACTATGCTGATGATAAATGATGCTTTAATGTCATGAATAAGACCTTAAGATAAGACAAGTGTTACACACTGAGCATCCACTGAATTTACTCCTGGCAGCTAGAGTTGACAAAAAGCTCTGCCATCATTAAGCTGTCCTCTGAACAAGAATTTCTGCTTTAGCTTGGGTCTGCAGGAGACCACCCAGCAGAACAAGCCAAAAGCACAATGGCAAAGAAGTGCTGATGCTCTTTGCTCCTTGGTGCATCGGTTTTAATCGAGTCAACTGGAAACAGAGTCTTGCCCAGAGCAAAAAACCTCTCACCATACAGCTGCCCAAGTCCTTCTGCTCAAGGTCTTTCCCCAGATAAGAATGTTAGTGAAAGCTTCCCCACAGAGAAAGAAAACGGGGTTTGCTGTAGGGTGACACACATCACTCAGGATCACAGAATGGGTTGGGGTGGAAGGGACCTTAAACCTCATCCAGTCCCCATCCCTGCCCCCAGACCAGGTTGCTCAAAGCCTCATCCAATCTGGCCTTGAACCCTTCCAGGGAGAAGCAGCCACAGCTTCTCTGGGCAACCTGGGCCAGTGTCTCACCACCCTCACGGCAAAGAATTTCTTCCTCACATCTCCTCTCCATCTCCCCTCTGCCAGTTTCAAGCCATCACCCCTTGTCCTGTCACTCTCACCCTGCCCTTCTCCAAAGTCCCTCCCCAGCCTTCCTGGAGCCCCTTCAGGTACTGGAAGGCTGCTAGAAGGTCTTCTCCAGGTTGAACAGCCCCAACTCTCTCAGCCTGTCCTCAT